TAGGTTCTGGTAGGACAATAGGTCCTGGTAGAACAATAGATGTATACCATTTTACAGATCTATAGTCCCAGTGGTTTTATGCAACTGCAGACCAGAGCAGGGCAGTTTGGGCAGCAGGAGTTGAACTCTGCTTCCTTTCAGAAGTGGGAAAGCTGCCTACCAAGAGTTGAGATGTTTCCATGGCCCCAGTAAGGAGGGTGATGAGCGGCAGCATGGCAAGGGTTGTGGGGGCCCTTTTGATATGCGGGGACCCTCACCCAGTGCTTGACCTGGCCAACCACATGTGTGTCTGAGAGAGGGATGGGTGGGTGCTAATCCTCATTTAAATTGATCTCAATTTGCTGCTTTGAAGGAATGGGGGGGAATGTAACAGAATCCAGTTATGGATTTTCTGTGTCACATAGTGGAGATTCTTGTCAGTTGAGGGAATGAAGGTACCTAAGATCCAGATAGCATAAGGATTCTATAAAAAAAAATTTAAGGAAAATCCTAGAAACAAAGAAGAGAGAACATCTACAAGGCACAGAGTGTAGTATGAGCATGCAACAGATAGCCCAAACCAAAGCATTTTAGGATTCTGAACACATCTAGGTTATTATGAGGAGCAAGGGTGTTCATACAGGCTCAAAGACATGAAAGTAGCAGCAGTGTCTTGATCTTACTCGTCCCCAGCTTAGCTTGGGGGCAAGGGGAGGTGGTGGAGGTTAGTTTTTTGTTTTGAATGATTGAATCAAAGGCTTAGAAAGAATATTGAGGTTTTCCAGTGAACATTTCTCTGTAGCATCCCTGGCTGCCCAGATCTCCTGATCTGAAACAAAGCACAGTGGGAGGAGTTATCTCATGATGTCTTTGTCTACGATTTCATTGAAGCAGGGTCCCTAGAAAGGCTGCAAACTAACTGTTAAGCCATTCTGTGAATTGTAGCCCTGTGAGGTGAATCGTGGGGTGGGGAGATCACCCAACAATTATCAGCATGGTAGTGTATATGACTCCTAGGTCATAAATGATCCCAGACCCCAACACTGACTAATCTGCTTTGTTTGTACACTGCTTTGAGGTTTTGTTTTTTTACAGTCAAGTGGTGTATACATTTTATTAAATAAGTAAGTAAGTAAGTAAAATACGAACAAACGAAAGTAAGTAAGTAAATGAATGAATACCAAGTCCCCCCCCCAAGAACAAATCAAAGTAAAATATACCACTTATCCTAAATATCCTCATAGTTCACAAAGTCTTTACAGCCCCAAAGTATTTACACTCCCCTTTTCTTATCAATCAAATATTAGGAGTGGTGACAACAGCAAGTAAGGAGAGAACTGGTGGAACAGTTTCCCTTTCCATTCATCCATATATAAAAAGGTAAAGGGACCCCTGACCATTAGGTCCAGTCGTGACCAACTCTGGGGTTGCGCACTCATCTCGCTTTATTGGCCGAGGGAGCCGGCGTACAGCTTCTGGGTCATGTGGCCAGCATGACTAAGCCACTTCTGGCAAACCAGAGCAGCGCATGGAAAGGCCGTTTACCTTCCCGTCATAGTGGTACCTATTTATCTACTTGCACTTTGACATGCTTTCGAACTGCTAGGTTGGCAAGAGCAGGGACCGAGCAACGGGAGCTCACCCCGTCATGGGGATTTGAACTGCCGACCTTCTGATCGGCAAGCTCTAGGCTCTGTGGTTTAACCCACAGCGCCACAGGGCACTTAATTCAGTATCCTATTAGCACATTGGCCAACCAGGAAACTTGCAAGCAGCATTCGAGCACAAGAGCACCTTCTCCTCCTATGCTTTTCAGCAACTGGCACTCAGAGGCATTATTGACTCTAGCTGTGGAGGCAGAGCATTGCCATCACGGCTAGTAGCCATCAATAGCTCTATCCTCCTCTAATCAATCTTCTTTTAAAGCCATCTAGACTGGTGGACATCATTGCCTCCTTTGGGAGTGAATTCCATAGTTTTAACTGTGCTGCATTACGATACGATACAATAATCTTTATTGTCATTGTCCCATACAGAACAACGAAATTGAAAAAATCTACATCAGACATTCAAAAACCAACAACCTGCTATCCCAGCTATCCCAGCTTGGTTAGCCCCCTAAAAACTCTGATACCCCATAATTAAATACAATATACTCCCATAGAGACTACCTTACACTGCGTTTAAAACCAAAATCGCATTTGGATAGAAGCTGTTTCTCAGGCAGCTAGTCCTTGTCTTTAAACCCTATAACTTCTTCCAGAAGGCAGAAGTTGAAAGAGATCATTTCCAGGGTGCACACTATCCTGCACTATCTCTGCAGCTTTCTTATGGCACCTGGAAGCATTAAGACGAGAACATACTCAATGTGCTGATTAGGCCCAGGAAGCCCTAAATGGCTTGGCTGCCAGAGAGACAACTTTCTTCTTTACTATCTTGCCCACACCCTAAGATCTGGTGGACAAGACTTTTCTATGTCCCAACACAGGCTGATACAAGATTGGTTGCGGTATATGACAAACCTTTTCTGTGGCTGCTCTCTAGTTGTAAAAATCTCTTGCATTTGAAAACAAGCTTTATTTAAGGTCATTTTTTTGTCAGCCAGTATCAGAAGCGGGCACCGTATCGGCTACCCTTGTTGTAGAGGATGCACGGAAGGTAAAGCATTGACATTTGAATATTGCATAAACCCTCCTTAGCAGAGCTGCTAGTGCAAGTTACAAAGCAATTAAACATATTTTTTTGGTGGGGGGGGGGGAGAGCAAGAGAAAGAAACTGTATAAGAAAGTTAATAAATAAATAGGAGCAATACTAATGCCACACTTTCAAGGGCTATTCCTCATTCAATTTTGGAACGCTGTAGTCCAAAGATAAATTTTAAAAATTTGACGGTTGGACTAATTGTATACCCAGAAATGTATAATTCAGTCTCCTCAGCATCAAGACGCCCTTGTGGTTCGGGTAAAAACTCATAAGGGAAGTGTTCTTTTGCAATCTATTGCTCTTTTCTGCAATATTTATGAGCACACCAATATTTAATTCATTATTTATAGGTTTCTGACATATATCTAATTTGTTTTTACACACACACACACACACACACACACACACACACACACACACTCACTCACTATATATATATATAGATATATAGATATATATCCACAGCACTTTGTATACAAGCAATTACTGTAGGATGCATAACACCACCTTAAACTGTAAGAGCCTCTGGGGAAATGAATTAAGTGCACCAAACGCAGAAGATGAAATCCTGCTGGGGTGCTGCATTTCCTTTATGTGGTTGGGTAGTGAGGACTTAATTAATTTTATAATTGTCTCTGGCAGCCTAATCCTCAATATGCTCACTCAAAAAATAGAAGAGGAAGTGTGTTGTTGTGGACTCTACTTTTGTGTACTTGCTACATTCCCCAGAGATAGTCGCAGGTTGACATAGTTTCAGCAGGCTCAGGATGGAGAAGGGAGAAGACTTATTCATACAGGGCATTACTGATTTATGGAACCTGCTACTACAGGACATTATTTACACATTTCTGTAGAATAGATTTACTAGCTATTGGCCATGACCAGCAGGACTGCAGCATGCCAGCCAGCCAGCTATGTCCCTTTCCAAGGTACTCCATTGCATATGCTGTCCCTTGCTTCCACACACTCCAACCTTTAACAAGCATCCTGTGCCCACTGAGAATACCCAGTTCTTACTAGGCTGTTTGAGTGTTTCCCACTCTTAGGGCTTTTCCCCTTTAGTGTTGTGTTGTTGTTGCTGCTGTTACTTCTGCACACTTTGCGGTTCACCCAAGCTAGCCTGGTACCTTCTGCTTGTGCCTGGATGGTGACCCCAACGCAGCACAGCATGCATTTGCTAGATCAAGAATTGTGGGTATTAAGCAGACACAAATCCAATGATAGATTGTAATGTGCATTTTGAAAGTATGCTCCATGTGTCCACCGCATTGCTTGCCATCAGGCATGCATTTGAAGATCTGCACGAATGCACAGTATACTGCAACTAGTCACACTTAAATAATTTTGTTTTAAAGAAGCAGAGCGAAACATGGATCGGGAATCCAGCGCCCCCCGCCCCACATAAATCCTCCTGTCTTTTCCAGGCCTGCCTGCTCGTTTTCTGCATTAGCATAATAACGCTATGATATTTCTCTACCTGGGCCTTTAACCGAACCTCTGAAACATCCTTCTTCAACCTGGTGAAGAAGGCTGCTACTATTGCTAGCGCAAGATTACTTTATTTCTAAATAAATATTTATTCCATAAAGTTTACACACCTATTTGACAAGACAAAACAAAACAAAACAACAAACACCTCAAAGCCAGGGTGATCCATACAGAGCCAGTGCTGCATGTCCTTAATGAAGACACCAATTTATGCTCACAGAGAAACAGATCACCACTTGGAAAAAAATCCCAATCCCAAATGTTACCTTTGACACACACAAACAGAGTTTAAATGTCCTCTACACAAAATATCCACAGGACAATTCTGATTAAAATAAAATTCTATAATTCACAATCAGCTGATGTTTTCCAAATTACCGTAGTACTGTATTTAAAATTATTTGCAAAAAGTCTTGCTTCTGAAAAGGACGCACATTATTCTATTTCTTGTTAGAGGCTAAATGCATGTAATAACTATCCTCTTTCTATTGTTAGAGGATTGAAAGGGATACAGCTAATGAGTTGCTGAACCTTGTTATTGAAATTAAGCTTTATTACACTGCCATTCTCCAGTGTTTCTGTGTGTTTTTATTTATTTATTTACAGGAAAAGAGCAGGAAAAGAGGATTCCCCGCCCCCCGGGAAAAGCAAGAAATGTATAGTTAACTAAGCTTGTCATGCAACACAGAAAACATTATAGGCTTGTTCACATGTTACAGTAAACATAGGAAAGTTGCCTTCTGCCGAGTTGGACCATTGGTCCATCTCGCTCAATACTGTCTGCAATAACTGGCAGTAGGCATCCATGTTTTATATGGAGTCTCTCCTAGCTGAAGATATAAGAGATTGAACATGTGACCTTCTGCATGTAAAGCAGATGCTATACTACTGAGCTAACCTACACACCTTTCCTAAACTGCAAACCATCTCTTCATGTGTTTATGTGAAGGGGTGTACACTTATTTATTTGTACTGGCTCAGCTATCGTGCACATAAATTATGCCTTTGTTGAACACATAATCATAGAGTTGGAAGGGACCCCAAGGATAATCTAGTCAACATGTGCATAACTTTATGACAGTATAGCTCAGTTATTTGTGTACACAGATTGTACACCTATTGAATGTAGTAAGTGAACATCACTTATATTGCACACATTTCACACAAATCTGGGTCCACTAGCAAGGATACATGCATCTAGTTATAGTTCTCTGGTAAGGGTACCTCAATACCCTTATTTGAGTACAGTGGTAGCTTGGTTTAAGAACAGCTTAGTTTACAGACAACTTGGATTAAGAACGCTGCAAAACCGCAAGTAGGTGTTTTGGTTTGTGAACTTTGCCTTGGAATAAGAACACATTTCGCTTCCTGTTGAGTGTGTTCCATTTGTAAATTGAGTCCTCCGCTGCTATGGGAAAGCATGCCTTGGTTTAAGAATGCTTTGGTTTAAGAACGGACTTCCGGAACGGATTAAGTTCGTAAACCAAAGTACCACTGTACTCTGATTATTCACATGCAAACAATCATAGAAGAAGAAAAGGTGGCTGGTGTCCATTGGGACTGATGGGCTGAAAGGCAAGAGGCCAGCAAGAAGTGGAGTCAGAGGTAACGACAGGCACAACCACAGACACTGACAGGCAGAGCTGCTCCTCCTGCTCCTGCTCCTCCTTGCTGAGTTCTACAAAGGCAAGACTGAGACTATAGTGGAGGAAGCTTACAGCCAGTGCGACCCAATTGACCGGATGCAAGTAAGAAGGCAGGCAGATGGGGGCTGGCTGAAAGCAGAGAGAAGCTGATGGGGCAGTTCCCCATTCACTGCAGTGGACCAGCCTCCAGTGCACAGAAGAGAGAGCTGCCAAGCACCACCATCTCTGGTGCGCCACCATTGTTCCATTTCCAGGTCTCTGTGAGTTGGATGGTGAAGGTATGAAGTGGGCAACTAAGTGTATTCTTCAGAAAGTTGAGGCAGTGAATGTTCAGTGAGGGTGTTGAGGCAGAGCCAGTGCACATGCCTTCATGTGTTCCTTGAGTGTCCAAGTAAGTCTATGGAAGGGATGGGGGGGCAAAGATGATCCTCCTAGTCTCTCTATTTCCCAGGACCTCCCCAGGACAGACCACCTCCTGGTTGTACTATGCACATTCCTTGTGTGTTTATGCTTGGCTGAAATGTGCCATTTATTCTGATGCCTCTTGCTCCCCTGGATGGAGGATAGAGAGGGGTCTGTGAGTGTGTGAAGAATCTAGCCTACAGTACAAAGGTAAATTTTTCTTGTTTCTTCCACCCAGTTTTGTCTCTGGCACTGCCCAGCACTGGCACGGGCCCCCCTCCCCCCTGTTGTCAATAAGGCAATGTGGCCTTCAGGCTGAAAATGTTTTCTCACAGTTGTAATTAAAAAATAAAGTTTGGAAAAAATCACTTTGAAAACAGGAAGGAAAGGTGGCTTTGCAGTGCTTTAGTAAACTAAAGAACTGGCAAATCTTCCAGTTTATCCTGCCTCCCACCTCCACCATGAACAATATCTAATGCTCATTTTACATTTCTGTAAACATCTCAGCATCAGAAGCTATAAGCAGAGTGTCCTAAAATGTTTGACTATAGTTTTGTTGTGTTGACTCATAGCACATTGTAGATGAAATAAAATGTGTGCACATTTTAAAATACTATCTGTTTCTGTTTATATTGACTCTGCATGATTTAGATTAGAGACATTAAAAACAAATAAATGTTCCATTATTGGGGGGGGGGGGTTTGAGTTATTTTATACTTCCCCCTCTTTCAACGTATTTCAAAATCTTTCCCTCTGTACATCATCAATTGTTTTTCCTTTTGCCACAAAGTCTTTCATCTTCTGAGAAAAGTGGCAGCCACAATTTTTAATGAGACTCAAAGATCTGGCATTAAATCACTCAAAAGATTTAAAAAAATTAACTAGATTGAAGTCAGTGGCAAAATTTCCTTTGGAGTTACTAGGCAATTGTTTAAAAGGGGTATTGGCGACTGACATTCTGGAGATGTTTTAAAAATCATTAGCAGGAAATGGTGTTGATAAGGGTCATTTGTTTGCTTCTTAATAATTAACATAAGCATTCAAATCCCCTTTGCGCTCAGTGGCGAATTAAGCAAAGGCATCCCTGCCTCCAACTCCATTGGTCTCCAACCCTGTGGTGTAGAGCTTGGCCATCCAAATGTAGGGAAGGAGGAATTATCACTGATGGGTAGTCGTCAGTGAAAAACCCTAAAAAGAGGCATTCCAGGGAAAGAGAGGGAGCTGACCTGACCTGTGATCTATTGTCACGTGGCAGCATTGGACCTCATTCGGGTCCAATCGCCATGCAGGTTCCAGGCTGGGGCAGCAACCCACCAGTCCTCCCCCTACCTTCCCCTTTGTGGATATGACATTGGTCTCATTACTCTGTTAAGCCCCACCAAACAGTGGCTTGGTTTAGGATTTTAATCTGAGTGAATTTGCAGCTTGTTTTGACATCTTTTCTACGAAGTAGAGCCTTGTTCATAGATTCTCCTCCACATTTTGGTCTAAACACATGGATGGAGTGGGATCCGTACTATCTGGCCTCTGCTGCAATGTCACATGAACCACCAGTCCTGCCTGCCCGGATTCAACCCTTGAATTTGCCAGCAACCCAGACACGGAGTCGGAGGCTGCAGGAGCACCAGCTAAGAAGACAGATCAAATGGAGCCAAATGCTGGAGAATAGGATACTACATGAGGCTGGAACCTCCTGGACCACAATGGCCTGTAAGTAAGGCCAGAGCTCAGACCCTTAGACCTTCCCTTGAACCTGGGAAACCAGATGCCTCCAACCACATGCCACTGGTACAATCACACAAGCAGTAGCACCCAGCAGGTACGGCAGAGGCAGGGTGCCGCTGCTCTTCCAGCTTCCAAATACAGTCTGTTGTTGGTGTTTACCAGACACCAGAGGTACAGGGCCCAGGGTGAGGTGGAGGGAGCTCAACATTATACAGTATGGCATGGCGGAGCTAATCTGCTGCTCTTGCCATCGTGTGCCTACACAGTACTGAGCTCCCCATGCCTTGCCCTTCTCTGATCTTTCCAGAAAGCACCAATGACATGCTGTGTTTGGAAGGTGAGAGAGCTGTAGTGCCCTGCCTCCACCACTCCACGGACTGCTACTGGGCACAAAGAATGCACTAGAAGGGATGTTATGGAATGGATGAGTGCTTGACTCAAGGGTTGGCCTTTTAAGGCTTTGAATATCTCTGCAATAGGTGGAGCCTAGATGAGTAGTGTGGAGTCAGAAGCTTAAGAGGCATCACTTTTCTACCATCTTTTGCTGGAGCAAATTGCTCACTCAGAGCTGTCTGTGGTCTTTACCAACAACCCTTGATCAGCTTCTTGCCATGCTGCTTTCTCTGTGGGATCTAGTATCAGAGCAGCCCGCAACACTGCCCCATATATCTGCCACGCTCGGCAAATATGTCTGAAAAGGAGAGACTTTGCATACAGGCCCCTGTGAGCTGGGAGTCATGTTAGGTTCCTGATTGCATGGAAGCTTATAAACATACAGTTGCGAGTACAAGGCCTCTCTGTGTCAGACATCCATGCTGAATGTGCAGGTGTTGGCTGGGACAGGAGTCACAGTACACCACTTGTGCATGGTGCTCATTGGGACTGGTTAGGTGGAAGGCAGGTAGGCAAACAGTAGGTGGAGCCAGAGTTAATGACAGGCATTGTCAGCTAATTTTATTTTCCTACTGCTGAGTCCTACAAGAGCAACACTCAGACTTAGGGAAAGGAAGTTGAAAGCCTGTGCACCCGCTCCCCTGGACTGGTTGAGTGTAAGAAAGCAGGCAGATGGGGGCTGGTTGAGGAGGGCAGACTTAAGGTTGGTGGTGCAGTGTCCCATTCATCCTAATGGACCAACCTCTACTGCAGTCCACCATGCATTTAGCCAGCCTATGTGTGAAAGGGATTCTGGGAACCTGACTCCAATTTGCTTGGTACATAGGCAGGAAGGAGACTGAGGGTGGGGTGGGGAGTGTAAAATTATGTGTCTTGCAACTTTTTTTATTAAAAAAAAAAACCCTACAAACTCTTTTGCCTTCAGGGAAAATACAGTGACATATTGGCAAGCAATTGGCATATGAATTGCCACTCTGCAGTGTGCCTTTGTCAGTGAAGTGCAAATGCATGCAATGGGGAAATGTGTAAAGCACTTTGATAAGTGACAAGCACACTTAGTTTGTGAATTAGGGCCTTTGTTCAGTTACTTGATTCTTGTTTGTTCCTTTATTGTGATTCTTGATTTTTGGAGAGTTTTCTTCTTTGAGGAGCATGTGCTTTCCAGTGGACAACTTTATTGTTCTGCCTGGGGTATTGTGTTTCTTCTTATTCAAGACCTTCATCAGTGGTCGGGGAGAGGGAGAAGTAATCAGGGATGTAATGGTGTTTCATCAAGATACTTGCTTTGCAAGAGAGAGGTTTTCCTTTCCCTCTCAATCGCTTGTCTTTTTCTTTCTTTGTTCTTTCCTCTTATTCCTTTCTTTGGTTATGAGACAGTGCAGAAAACTGTTATTGGATGCAACCCTACTTCCTGCTTGTAGCCTATAAAATTTTAGTAGACTAGTAACGTTGTAGAAATTTTTTTATATGTAATGAAACAGAATGTATATTTTTATTATGCTTATCTTAACGTTCACACAAAAATTCTTAAACAACTCAAATGTGAAACTGTTGCTCTTTCAAATAAAAATGCATAGGCTTCTAACACCTGCACCCGTCTTCTAATCAGAGAACGGAAAGGAAGTCAATGTAAAAATAAGTTTTTTAAAAGGGACCCAGAGGGGGAAATTCAGGAAATTTCAGATCTGCCAGCCTAACTGCCACCTCAGGTATATTGGAAAGCTTTATTGAGATCAG